AGTTGTAATATAATATTCGTAAAGTATTATTTTCGAACTATAAAGCATTTTTCTTTCTACCTTTTATTATTAGGTTAAAAATGACAAAAAATTTATTAAAGTCCACCGGACCCCATGGTACCTACCCACACAGAACAAAACATCCATTAGACATCCATAGATCATTCATAGCTCCACCAGACATCCATCTCCACGGTGGACGATAAGTGGATTTCTAATGGACATCCATAATTAATTTGATGAATATCCATATAACATCCATCGTGGACGTCTATTGTACATCTATTATGGATGTGCAATAGATTTTCATATTTAATTTTTTATTGAATTTTAGTACGATCTCTATTGCATTGTAGATTTCCAAGTAGAACATAAGAATCAAAATGATATGAATCAATTTGACGTCATTTTAATCAAACATTGAACAAATTTATGTCAATTATCAATCAAAAAAATTAAATTAATATAATTTTGACTATTATGTTTTACTTGGGCTATTGCTAACAATACAAAAGTTTAATTTATTTTAAATCCCTCAGAAATTTATTATAATGAATATTGTGGAAATCATTACTTGAGATATTCTGAGAATTCGTGAGAAATTACTATTATTAGCTAATTTCATTTATTATATGGTATGGTTGCATCAGACAGATACCCCTTATAATAAGCGTTGATTTATATATTTATATATAAATTTAATTAATTAAATTAAATTAAATTTTATATGATAAGATGGATTTTTCTCTTTTTTAATTGTGCTCTTTTATAATCATTCGAATTTTATAATCTCTTATGACTTTGTCTATTTAATAACAGCAATAAAAAAAATTTTATTATAAATATTTTAAGACCGAAATGGAATGTGTGGTATTTCGTAGACCTCACCTCACTAGTTAAGGTTTAAATTAATAATAAAAATATGAAAAATATAATTTTCATTAAAATCAAATCATATAAAAAAAATTATATTACTGCGTTAATTGCAACATATATAGACAAAATATAAGACGTTTGTATCGATCGAAGAAGTAGTGTAGTGTCTAAAGCAATAGACTGATAATTCAAAGGTGCCGCCTCAGGTCCAAGTTCGAATCCCAATGTTAGTGAGAATTTTTAAGTATATAACATTTGGAATCAAGTAATTTTAAATT